TTTCTTAGTAGACGTGCAATGTAGAAGAAATGAGGATGCAAAAAGATGCTTTTTTCCTTTGAAGATAATGCCCCTTTAGTGCTGCAGAGGGGCTCTCTGCAGAACTTGCCACTGCAGCAGCACCAGCAGTTGGGTCTGTCTGACAGCACCAATTTAACCAGGCACCAATGTTTGTAATGTGCTCTCCTGGCAGAATTATGCAAGATGGATTGTTTAGGTGTTGAAATTTAAGCAGATTAATGTTTTCCTGACAATGATATCTTCCTAAATAAGTAAATTAAATTTAATGTCTGTCCTGATTTTTCCCTTTCCTTCTCCCACATGTTAGCCACTCTGAGGTTCTCCAGTTTTTCATTTAAAGACAGCTGTGCCTGGATTGAGCAAAGACATTCCCCTGAAAATGCCAGGATGTTTAAGTGCCAAGGGAGCAAGAAACCTGAATAATTCTGCTGTCTGGGAATTAAGCACCAGCTTGGTGTTCATGTCAGGTGGGGTCAGCGTCCACCTGAGTACAGGCAAAATGGAATTGTTTAGTGGTGGAAGTCCAGCAGCTGTGCCAGTGAGGATTACTCCTCTGGTCCATATCGGAGTATTGAGTCTCATGGGAATTCTTTCCCTTGGAACCAACACTAACAATCTTTACAAAGCTTCAGAATGTATTGTGTAGCTGTGAGCCCATTCCTCCAGTCCCTTGAATCACCTTCCATGGTGCAAGACACACCCTGTCCTTTGGTTTTAAGCTACTTTAAATTTCATGCTTCACATCTCCTTGACTGAGACACTGTATTTATGCTCCTCTCTTTAATGTTTCTTCATAAATCAAACCTCTATAGCCCTACTTACCCAGTCACTGACTTCCTGCATCTCTCAGATAACTGAGGTGCCTCTGATTTAAAAATGCCAATGTATGGAAATTTTAGATAGCAACAGTTCTCTGCCTGTTGCATGCTGATAGGATTTTGAAAAATAAATGAGCCCTAAATAGTTCCAGACTGCAGCCTTTTAACATGTATTGAATTCTGAGACTCTGTGTGGGTCTGTATGTGCAGATCCAACTGAACTGCTTTTGATCCTTGAAGAGAAGCTCAGTGGGTTGTTCTTAATGCAAGGCCATGTCCCTCTAATTAGATTTCTGGGCTCTGTGCTCTCATTGAAACCTAAAGGGGCATTGCATAGACATTATCTATGGCCTCAGATTGATGGCTTTGGTGGGAGTTACAAACACGTGAATAAAAAGCACAAGCAAGGCACACAATGTTTTTCAAGAACATTGCTATGAGCTATCACCTGCCCAAGGGGCTGCATTCCAAGCTCTTTCCTCAGTTATATTGGCTTAACATTTATAATGCATTATAAAGCATTTATAATTCTCTGTCATTATCCTGCTGCTGCTGTGCAGCTTCTCTGCAATTACATTGTACCCACCTCCCTTTTTAATACCAGTGGATTCAATTTGCATATGAATTTCCCTCACTTTTATATAACTGAAGAATTTATGATATCTCTAGTGGGCTGTAATTCCTTTTGTCATTTCTCTTTTGTTCGTATGGTCTGCCAACAAAAGATCAATCCCTCATTTAGTTTTAAATACACAATTTTTAAAAAATGGGTAATAATACAAAATAATATTGAAATGCATTACAAAAATAAAACATGAGATACAATTTTCTTGTACAATAAAAACAGACAATTTTGTAACACAGACTGCAATGTTTTGTAACACTTTGTGAACACTTCTGCTCTGTAAACACTTTGGTGAGAAACAGCCCTTTGGAAATTAAAGATCATCCGACAATTCCTATGCATAAAACCCTGCTTATACAGAGGATAGCAAAGTGTGAATTAATTCATATTTTCACCCATTCTAAAAGGAAACAAACCAAACTGCTCCCTTTAAGAAAGAAGCAAAAGGGTTTATTTTTGTAATTATTAAATCCATAGATACCATTGCCCTGTAAAATTAATTTTTAGGTTATAAAGTAATAATGGTGGTAGGCATGTTTTTTTATTAATTTGCTTCACAGAAACCTGGGGAGATTTTTATGAGCTTTTTTTAGAACCAGAATCTTCCATTTGTGCCCTCCTTTACCATTCATCTAATTCTAATTTCAGTCCAATATACAGACTTATTCCCTCACCATGCATGGCAAACAAATCCCGGTGTTAGTCCTGACAAAAATGGGAGAACAATCTTGGAGGATTACCATTAACAGGCAACTGCAACCAGCAAGGATATTTTTAAAACATCAAATTGTTTGCTATTTAAAATTTATGCCAAAATGCAATATTTCTATGAAAACCAATGTCTTTGTGATGAACAGCATTGTCACTGCAGAGAGATCCACATAAAGTGTGAGAAAATCTGGAAAAAAGGATAAATATCAGGAAGTGTAAAGTATGATCCAAGTACAGTTTGTTCTGGCAATTCCTGTCTCAGAAGATATAATTTCCACTACTGAGTCACTATCAACAGTGAAAAACATTTGGGGCTGTAAAAGGTGTCAGCATTAATGAGTCTGTCTAGTTTGGAATATGTTGTACTTGCCATTTGACATGAAAAGATATCATTTCACAAAAACCCCATTTTATGTCATTTATCAAGCCACAATTTTCATTTTATTCCCCTAAAAAGCTCAGCTGTGGCAAGAAATTCAATAAGTACAAGAGCTTTTTGCTAGTGCCATTTTATCCCATGACAACAGGCAAAATGACTGCACGGAGATCAAAATCCAGTCCATTTGTTCTGGAAATTAAATTCTAATCAATTTGAAGCTATTCCCATCATGCAGTTGCTGATGACACTTCAAGACAAAGTAGCACTGTGCAAATTCAAAATGGGGTTGAAGAGAGATCAGTCCCTTCATGAGAAGCCTGGGTAAGAGACCAGGAAAAAAAGTGCAGCACTTAGGAAAATGCTGGCATTATGAGCAGCAGTGTCCTAATTCCAGGTAAAATGCCATGGGCTGACACCTCCTCATTCATGTGATGTCACTTTACAGTGTCAAGAGCATTTCTCAGGTTCTCTGTTGTCCGCCCATTCAGCCTGCATTTGCCTATGCATCTTTTCTCTTGAATATAATGTTTTACATAACAAACGAGTTCAGCCTTTCAAAGGAGCTTCCCCTGTTCCGTGAGGTGAAGAATGAGCTTTCTTGAGTTTGTGATATTTACACTTCTTCGTGTTATTTCTATTTTATATAATCAATTTAGAAGTAAATGCCCCTGCAACCCTGGGTATTTCCCAAGGTTGATGGTGGAAATATCTATAAGCAGATTAGAATAACTATTAATAACATTGTTTATGAGTAGTGGGGGCTTAAAGACCAAGGCCTCTGTAGCCTGTAGTTAATGTATTACAGGTATTCTATATTTTAGAGGGATAGAACATAATGTGTTTTAAGAAAAGTCTTTTTGCTGCTGGAATTTGGTTAAGAATTGAAAGGTAAATCCACTGCAGCTCAGCCTTGGGGTGATTAACCAGTGTGGGAGACTGGGCTGGGAATTCTCCCTGTATCCTGTCTTGCTGTATTCCCCATGCAGTTGGAGTCATGGAGGGGTTTCTACAACACATTTTTTTGTCCAAAATACCAAATAATTTAACTTCATTGTTTCTTCTACTCTCTCCATGAAAACATGACATTTAGAAGCACAGCATATTTGAAATTATTGAAGAAACAATTTATTTATGGATTGCCTTCCTCCTCTTCTTCCCTGGTTTATGAGCCCGTAAGTTGTAACCATTGTATTAGGAAAAAAAATGTTTTCCCTACAGTTTTTACTGAGTACTTGCTTTTGTTTGTCTTTCCAGGACTGTTAGGCATAGTAGGGAAACTATTCATAGAAGTAAAAATAACCTCCATGCAAACCTAAATGGAAACAGATACGGATTGAGAGACAAATCCAGCTCTACTCATTTTATATGCAAATAACCTAACCCATGCAATACAGGAGAAAAAATTAAAAGGCAATGTCTCTTTTAGTGCAGAGAAATTATGACATTGCAGCTAGAAACCATAGCAACAATATTAAAAAAAGTAAAGTAGGGAAGCATTTGATCTAGTATTGACTCATGTTTCTTACTAAAGATCAAAGCATCCAGAGCCTTCTTTGAAATATGTAATAATACATTGAGTCTAATTCCCAGGGCCTAATATTATAGAAGTTGAAAATCTGGGGAAAAAGAGAAAAGAAACTTTGCTGAGAGGTGTTTTTTTCTCAAAATGAACAGCTTAAGAATACCTAAAGTAGAGCTTTTAGTGATAATTTTAGTGTCACTTGTCAGTTTGCCAAAACACTTTCTGTTACTAAATAAGTATTTCAAATAAAATTCAAAATTACCATATCAAACAATTACCATTCCTAGGCAGCACACTATTTACTGAATGAAGGTGAATATGCATGAGAATCTCTTTTTCATGACTCAATTTCATTTTGTCTTAATGAGCACAGGCTGCTTCTTGAGTTGCATGAGACCTTTAATTGGTGTCAACAACTGTGATAACACCTCATGGTTTTCTCCCCACTTCACTTTTCAGTAAACCAAAATGCAGAAAACATGCTTCAATTTCAGATCCATAATGTGCTTTAAAATTCCACCAGCACTGCAGAGTGTAATTATCCTCCAGAAATAAAGATATTACAGTGATTTCATTAATTTAATTCCCCTGCCTCACCTTTTCAGGAGTCAAATTACAAATGGTAGGTTTCCCTTTCTAAGACATAGGAGTAAATTCTAGATGTAGCACCTGCTCTCTCCAAAATCCAGGGAGTTTTTTAATCAAAAATGGTTAATTTTGGCATGCAGTCTTCAGAATTCCTGAAACTTTTATATACCTAGTTCAGGCTGGATTTTATTGTCTTGTGTCGGATCTAACCTCCACAAAGGTGAGGAGGAGCTCTTCCCCTGGCTCATGGGCATCATTTACAAGATTTCTCACAAGCTGGAGCATCTCTAAAGGTGTGTGGTGTAGACAGAAGATAAAAAACAGGAAGTCACTCACCAACTTTGACATGCACATGTAGGGAAGTTGTCAAATGGAACGTTTTGTAACTGCTGCTCACTGGACTGGTTTGGCCACACCGGTGTCATTAGTGTTTGGATAAATTGCAGCAGTTGCTGAAGCTGTTTCTGCCTCTTTCTGTGACTGGGGCTCATTTCAAAAGATGTATCCTTCAGAAGAGCTGGACCGGTTCGAGAATCAGCTGCAGACATGTCACCCAGAGAGAGCTTTATATACAGAAATTAAGGGCAGTGTGAGAAGGGCACTGTTTTCCTGGTGGAGAGCTCAGGGAGGAAGAGGATGAGCAGGATGTGGGTGAGCGGTGGGGGCAGGGCCCTGGGCTCTGACATCAATCCAAACTCCTCAGGAGAGCCTTGCACTGAAAATGGCTCATTGAAAATCCTCCGCGCAGGTTAGGTGCATTCTTAGAGTGATGATTGTCCTGCTTAGCAGCAGACCACTGCTCCAGGAATTCCACCTCCTGATCTTTTTCGTTTGGATCAAGATCCAAACAAAAGCCTAAGAGGCTCTTGTGCAAAGCCCGTAATTTTGTGTGTCTGTTCAAATACGCTTTTGCGTTACAGTGTTTGTAGAGAATTTTCTGGCAAAAAAGGAAATACTGAGTTTTCATCTCCAACATTTACAGAAATGTGCTGAATTTAACAAACCTTTGACAAGACATACCAAAGAGTGTTACATAATCCTGTCTGCAGCTGAAAATATACCTGCCTGCCTTTACTTTGTAGTCCTGAGCTTCAGAACAATTCTGATATCCATCCTGTGTTGAGGACTAATTTGCATTTATTGTCTTGATGCACATGCCTATTATTTTTCTATGCATATTTTATAAATATAAAATATATTATTAGAATGAAAACATAGATTATATGCCTTTAAAATTAAACCTGGAATGGTCCTGTCATGATGTAAGCATGATGGATGTGGTGGGATCACTGAGTCTACATATTGTTGGAGCTTTAGGATTGGTACTGCATGAAGAAATTGGGATTTTTTTGAATTTTTTTTTAATATGTGGTATTCACTTTGCATTTTTTACTCTCGTGTATATTTGGTAGGATTTTTTGGTAAATCCTCCTTTTTGTGCTGACCAAGATTGAGTCTTTTTGACAAAGTTCAATCTAAATCCTCTAAATCACACTTCTGTTCTTGGCCTTTCTTAAGTCAAATTATCAGAGCTTGTATGCTAAGCTGTGACCTTTTTTTGGTGATGTAGGAGTGTGAAGCAGCAGTTTTAAACCTAGGAAATAAAGAGAAATAAAGACTACTGCCTCCCATCTTTCACAGCTGGGTGTTTTCAAACACTTTCTGAAATAGATCTTTTATAATGCTTAAATGATAAGTTGCATCACAAAAGTTTTCAGAAATTTGTTGCTAAAATCCAAACTATTTCAATATGCTGTTGATGCTTCTGAGAAATTGCGTATGATATAGGCAGATAGTACTCTGAGTTTGAAATATTACTTGTGAATGGAAATCAAATTGCCTTTAGATATATATGAATTTATAGTGATAATTTTTTTTAATTCTCCAAGTTTCATCTCATGTTTAGCATCTGAAATAGATTAATAAAAATGTTGTGAGGCTTGATCAACAGCAAAAGTTTAATTAACTTTGTGAATTAGAAGTACCAAAGATTCCATTAAGAAGTTGTGAAAGAATTAGTACTGTTAATTCACCCGTGAGTCAGGGATATACCCCCTAGAAGTGACATTCCTGTACATTTTTTGTAAAAACCAAATTCTAAATTAATTATAAAACTAATTCTAAATTAATTGAAAATTTCTTAAAATAATTCATGGTTCTTCACAGTGTAATTATTAAAATTAATGTCATATATGAAAATGTCAAGAACTATCACCTCTTTTGACAATAATGCTGCTGTTGATAACAGAGGGTCAGCCAGACATTGTGTGGACATCATGCTTTGTGATACTGTTTTCATGCAGTTATCAGAATAATAGCACACGTTATTTTTATCATGTTTGACTATTTTATATATGCTTGTAACTTCTCCTTAAGCTGTGTTTTCAAACGGCCAGGAGCTGGAGCCCACTGGCAGCCATCATTCTGACACATTCTATCTCTGCTGGGGTAGAGCCAGAAGGAGCACAGAGAGAATTGTGAGATTTCATTACCACCCGTTTGTTTTCAAGCACTTTTTTATCCTCTTGTCCCAAAAGATTGGTAGGACAGAAATGTTGGGTTTCTACTGGCTTGACCTTGACCTACTACAGAAAGTGCTGTGATCCCACCTCTTCCTTTCTGTGGGAATTTTCTGTTCTGAAAACCTGGATGAGGTTTGTAGGAAGGGAAGATGACTTGCTACACTTTTGAGTAAATGCCATAATTTGGGCCCTCCTGGCTGTGACTCCAGGCAGCAGAAACGGCCCCGAGACTGCAGCGCAGGCAGGAGGGGTGATTGTCCCCAGAAATGTCACTGCGAGACCAGAGGCAGCGCTGGCACGGCCAGAGGAGCCCACATCCTCCTCGCAGCTTAACCTCAGCCTTCCTATTCATTTCTCTACTAACCACTGGTGCTGGTGAAGAAAGAAAAGAGAAAAAGAAATGCAGACAGCAAAAATTAAAACTAGGTGATAGACTAGAAGTTGGGTATCAAAGAATAGATATTTTTCACCCCTGCCTGCTTAAGATGTGGCAGGATTTTAACCTCAGTTCATAACCTGAGGAGTGGATTCAGGCTTTCAGGCTACTTAATATCCTTTATGGTCTAAATGACTTGGTTCCTTAATGTAGTTTGATAAAGTGGGATATTTTACATAGAGGATGTGGTAGTGTGTAGAAGGTATGAGCAGAGCTCCAAACAGGGCAGAATTCCTGGAGATTTATAGCACCTCAAAAGCATCTAAATAAAATTAAAGATATTTTTCTTCTTGAAAACTCTTATTGCTGTCTCTTGTATTTAGAATTTTTTTCCATAGCAAAGATTATTTCTTTAAAGTATTCTTTCTTCAATACCATGACACAACTCCTCCTTTCTTCTAAATATGTGCAATAAATCCTCCAAGAGCAGTGAATTTGATCCGTGTGTGCATCTGTAAACACCTGAAGATTGCAGGTTCCAATCATATCGTGCTGGTTTGAAAGATAACACCATGACTAAATCCTGATTTACATGTTTACTTTACAGCCTAAAACTGTTTCTTATGCCTACTTTTCTGCTTATCTGTATTTTATTGAAATGAAATTACTAAGTAAATTTCTTTGGTAGCAATTAATGAATTATTGCTTTGTGAGTATGTGGGGGGACAGTACCACCAATATATTTGGAAAAACAAAGAAAATTAATTAATTGAAAATATACAAAGTAAGATTTACTCAGTTGTGGTTTTCTTCCCAAATGCCCATGCAATTAATAAAAGAGACTTTTCAACTAAAAATTAAATTAACACAAAGAAACTTGAAGACCTTCTTATTGAAGACAGCTGTATTATGAAACATTAATTTGCTCTGAATGCCAAAAACATTTATTATAAAGCAGCTGCCTATTTATTAAATATAATCATAGTGTGTTATTGACCATATTTCTAGGTCTCCTGTTTTGAATTAGCATAAAACAAGTTTAAAAGAGGATTTAAAATTTTTTGCAAGCTACAGATAAGGTGACAAATGGAGGAGTAAATGTATTTAAGTCTCCTGAAAGGGATTTATTTAGGAGGTTGTACTTCTAAAGAGGAATCAACAGCAAACAAGAAAACCAAAGCATTATGCTTTAAAATCTCACATCTCTTTGAAAAATGAAGCAAACACTGGGAAAAAAACAACAATGGCAAACTTTTTTATTAGGAAGGTAGCTCAAGTGTCTAGCATATTCCTGCTTCTTGAATATTTCTCTACTGTTATTAGAAAGCATCACGTGCAATTTTTACTTAAAAACAAGTGGCACAGGTGATTCTTGAAAGTGGCTTCTGCAATCACTTTAATAATGAATATTATCTGTACAGAATTGCAATGGGAGGCATTATCAATTCCTAAAGCCTCAGTGTTTTTCCTCACAGAAACGGGAGCCATCTCTTCTGATTTCTGTCCTGGTGCTTCTTCACCAGTTCCTTGTACACTTCTGACCTCAGAAACCTGGGAAAAGAGTCCTTTGCCATGAGACAGTAGACTGAGCTCTGAGCAGCATCAAAGCAGCTGAGGGTGGGCTCAGAGATGTTCTGGGAGATGTCATTTTTGGTATGGAAGTCAATATTAATCTGTAGGAGGAAAGGAGCATGAAAGTGGTGTCAGTTTGCTTGGAAAGCTGAGGTCTGTTTGTGTCCAGGACACAAGCTGCATTTGAATTTCCTCCCAAATAACCCAATTGATGCAAATAAACAGGGACTTCATCCCTTCCTTTTCCAGCAGACTGAATTGTTCATTTTATTTGGCTCTTAAAAAGATGGCATCGCTGAAAAAAAAGAAGATAAAAACTTGCTTTTCCTTCTCATCTTTCTGCCAAACCAAATCCTGTGTAAGTACTGATTACCAAAGGTAAATTAAAAGTGAAGGTGCTCAGCATCATTTTAGACTTTGGCCCTATGTGTTTTCTAAGGATTTTTGTATTTAAAATACAGTAACAAGATGTATTTTAATCATATGTAACACATGGGAACATCTTGCTAGCAAAGGCAAAAACATCAGTGTAAATATTTAAAGTGCAGAAAGTGAATAATGATTATTAAGCAATTTGTTCTTTCACAGTAAGCCTTTTTGAAATAATTATAAAATTGAATTCTGTGATGGAAATTTTTGCATTCTCATCATGTCAAAAATACCTACACAAAAGAACAAATGCAATCATAAACCTACTAATGTTCTGGTACATTGAATACAGAAGAGATGGTGCTTAATGCATTACAAAAATTATTAGAGAAAACAAATTATACTGAGCATAAAGTTCCTTAAAATTTCTGGCAGAAATTTCAGAAGATGATGTAAACTTATTCCCAGTGTGAAGAATGTAAAGAATGTGAAGTGTAAACCATAACATCTTTGCTTCACAGAGTTGCACAAGGTGCTTACCTGGTAAATAATGGACATTTAAATGGGAGTTACAGCCAGGCTGAATTGCATTTTCGGTCATTCTTTGAAGTCTGGATCTGAACTTTCCAATTCATCCCTATCCTCAGTACCCAAAGCACACACAGAACAGACTCTTTACCTCCTTTGGAGCATCAGCTTGTATGAAGTCAGAATAAATCTTCTGGGCTTTCAAGGCAATCTTGGTGGAGGATTTGGTTTTCTTGAAGTCCTCGCAGGCCAGCCAGAACTCCACATTCTCCTCACTGAACTCGGATTTCAAAAATGTCCGAAAAGCTGCCAGGCCCTCTGGGGAAAATGCATCAGATAGTGGGTGGAGGTAAATTGAAAGGCCAGTGCTATTTATGTGTGTGTGTGTGTATTTATATATTTACAGTATGTGTATAGTGTAACCTATGTATCTGTCACTCTTTTACATGTCAGCTAGCAGTCAGGTTTGAGAAGCTGCTGCAGGGGAAATAAATAGGAGATTAAATTATGGTGCTGATAAGGGGACTACTAAAAGAGTTTTTCAGTGAGTTGCCAGCCAAATATTGCTCTCAACAGCTGCCATCTGTGGTTTGGTCTCTTTAGCACTGGTACATTTGTTAAAAGGGGATCCTAGAGGTTTTGGTCTTCAAAAGGATTTGTAGTGACTGGGAAATCAGATTTGAGGCTGACTCCTGGGCTGAGAAGCAAATAGAAATGTAGGTCACACTGTGCTAGTGTGCTTCCCCCACAGCTGAGGTTCCCTGCCCAAATGGGGCTTCTATGTCCTTGCAAGGAAAGATGAATACCTGGATAAAAGAGGGACTCCTTGTTACTTTTTTGTTCCTCTTTCTTTTTCTTTTTCACTTTGAAGGGGAAAAAATGAAAGAAATAAAGGTTTGTTTGGAATAAATGATTTTAAAATTAATCCAAATCACAAGCTCTGAGTAAAGAAAGCTGGCAGTACCCAAATTTAGTTGTGTTAGTCAAGTTAATGCTCTCCAGGAACAGTGTGGAGGCATCCCAGGGTCCAGGCAATGATATTACTGCTGGGAAATGGGGGAGGGGCAAGGACATTTCCAAGTTGCTTGTGGTTTGTGGTGTCAGGTCTGTAGAAATGGCACTTCTAGGAGAAATTACTTTAGATATGTCATTTTTTGTTTGACTGGAAGTCACTGCACAACACACATATTTCTCAGGAATACCTAAGAAAACCTTTGTGGTTTTTGTGTAAAAAATTATGAAAAATGAAACCACTGCAAGGGGAATTTAGCAATTACTTTAATAAAAACTATTTTATAGGATTTCTGCCTGCCCTTGAGCACTGGCCAGAAGGTATATTGTGTTTGCAGCTTGGACAAACCTCTCAGGACAGCAGCTCCCCCACCTCCAGCAGCAGCTCTGGTCAGTTCAGTGCATGTGGGGAGCTGAACTGGAGAGCAGTGTGAAAACCTGGCAAAAATGTTTGGTAATTGGGATGACAACTGTTTTAAAAACACGAATGTTTTCCCATCGCTTCTTACCTTTATTGGATAGTACTGTATCCACAGACTCAGACCAGGCCATGCTTCCCCCAGCATTTGACCTGTGGAAACAACATCTACCCTTGAAAATAGCATTGTGGTCTCTGCCCTGTGCAGCCTGGGGTGGCTGAGAGCCTATGGTGTGGCTGGCTGCTTGGGAGAGGGGCTCAGCCACTCCTCCTACCCTACACACAGCAAAACAGGGATATTGGAACTGCTGACTTGATTATTCATCCTGGAAATACTTGTAATGCTTGCAGCTGCTGAAGCTCTAATAAAGCACAGGAGAGGTAGGAATGTTCTAGAGAGTATACTGAATTTCTTCTCAAGTTCAAAAGGAGTAGGCATTAATTTATACAGCACTTTTTGTTTGTAATGACAGGAATTATCTAAAATGTTACCAAGCTAACACTAATAGGAAATATGGGCCTTATATGAGCTTCTCAGTGGCATAAATAATTCATAGTAAATTCATAGTTCTGGCTCTTCCCCTGCAACTTGCTGTAGGCTTCTGCTAGGCATGAGGGCAAATACTTTGTTCTGTATAAAATATTGCCAGCTTTCTTAAAGCAAAGAAACAAATAAACCCCACCAAAACAAACAAACAAAAAAACCCAACTCCGCATTAAAAAAAAAAAATCACAAGTACTCTCAAGTTCTGTAAAAAACATTTGATGTTCCTAAGGGGGCTCTGAGAGCTCAGCTATCAAAACCCTGCTCTCTGAATTACAGAGGCTGGTTTGAGAGCTGTGTTCCACAGCCATTTCTCAGCATCACCACTAATGATATTTTCTAATTGCAAATTTATAAAGAGATCATATAACAGTGTCACGATATTATGTGGCTGTAGTTATAATTATTACAAGGGATGGTGGCAGTGACACCTTAAACAATCAAACTTTTTTGTAGCTCTCCATTTACTTGTATCCAGAGTGCTTAAAAAATTGTATTTAAGCAAGAAAAAAAATTGTGCATATTTGTAAGTATATATAAAGACATACATGAGGGAAGCTGGAGTGCAAATATAGTAAGTCTGTGAAAATACAAATGAAAACTAAACATAGCATTATGTTGTACTTTGTGAGACATCATGTGATGATGGCATTAATCAGCAGAGAATTTGTTTTACCAACAATAAGAAACTTTTATCAAATATATGACAAATTTTCAGGATCTTTATTAAATGTTTACTAGCTTTCTTGTCAAGCAAAAAAGCAAAACGAAAGAGCAGGATAAACCAGACAGTTTTGCTTCTTGTTCCTATAGGTAATATTCGTTGTTTTAATATTTATTCACCACTCAGAATGATCTCACTAACCATGTGGAATTTACTTGAATGGGAATGGAAAGCAGAATTGACAACAAGGAATCAGAATAGTCATATCCCCTTCAAAGGGGGAAGGAAAATAAAGCTGTACAGATTATTCAAACTTGGTCATCCCATCATGTAAATCTTCTACCATTAAAATAGCCATAAACAGCAACTCACTTCACTGGCATTTTTTGTTCCACTGTTTGTCTGTCTGACTGTCTCAGGGAAGGCAGAGTTTCTTTTTCTGACTGATCTTCAAGCTGAAGGTACAGCAGGAACAATACAGTTAGCATGTGAATAATCAAACAGGACAATGCACACTGACAAATCTTCTCAACATATTCTTTTAAATTACTTCTTTCAGAAATGTGGCCTATTTTTAAGCAGTGCCACTCTCACCTAATAGTTGCCATAATACAAAGGGACTGGGGGCAATGGCAACACATTCCTGCCCAGGGTCATGGGTGGTGGAGCAAGTCCAGAGAAGGGCAGCAGGTGGTGAAGGGGCTGGAGCACAGGTCTGATAAGGAGCACTGAGGGAGCTGGGGTGTTTAGCCTGGAGAAAAGCCCCAGAGAGGACCTTATTGCTCCCTAAAACTGGCTGAGAAGGGATTGTAGCCAGCTGATGGTCTGTGTAATTTGTCTCTTGCTCTTGATAATTATTCGTTCATCCCCAGCTCTTTGCTTCCCCTGTACAACCCTTGCTGTCCCTCACTCTCCTTGAACAAGCAGGCTTACTGATTGATTTCTTGCCTCCCTCCAAATCTTGTCCTGAGGCCAAATCCTTTACTTAGATTACTCAGACTCCTGGTTCTCAATGTCCCCACCTGGCATAAACTTTCAGTGGTTCAGAAACTGGGATCCCAGCTGTCCCAACTTGCAGGTTTAGGGATTTTTGTCTTCTCAGTTAAAATATTTTACACCTGGTAGAGCAGTCTTAGGAGTTTCAGCCCCATTTGATTTTCCTCTGTGGTACGGTCATGAGCAAAGCTGCCTCCTGCCTGCCTGAGAATATCTTTCTTATTTTAGCCATGTCCATCTTCCAAGAAAGAAAAACCCAAGCACCACATGCCATGTTTCGCCCTTAGCAATGTTAGGATGTTATTCCTTATCCTTACCTTTTGTAGATCTGTAAAAGAAGTTTCGGGCCAATCTATTTGATGAACTTCACACGGGACAAAAAAACAGTGAATCTGGTCAATTGGGCTCCAGAAAGATGAAATCAGATGGAAACAGATACGGAGAGGTGCATTACTGGGACGAGCAGGAGAATTGAATTGTCATGCAGGAGAAGAATGAAAGACCAGTTTGTCTCTAAGACGAAAGCAGAGAGGAGCTATGATTGCCCTCTGAATACAGAGAGATAACTGGGTGAGGAAAAAAAAAAATTAGCATAATGGTTATACTGACAAAATAATAAATGTATAGAAGCAGCCAGTGAACAAATTCAGACTGAAAACCAGAATAAGGCTTCACAAACTGTTGCTCTTTGCAGTCTTCCAGCAGAATTTTTTGCCCTCTCTATTCTTCTGTACTTTGAAGATAGAGCTTCATATATTTATGAGATTATTTTAAATTGTTGTCTTCATTAATAGAACACTAGAAATTATGACCTAAGATGCCCTTTTAGTCCCACATATTACTAAAAAATATTCTTGGCAGCAAAATTCTAATACTTTCTGTAATTCCTTAGCTTTGCATCTGCTTGCTTCTAAACATTGTAGCAGAAGAACAGAAATACTAATTATCATCCTGGTTTACTGACATAATTTTTATTTTGCTTAATTGGTCATTTTTTTTTATTTAGAGAACAACTTGTGTGCCAGAGAGGACCAAAAGCCTTTTAGTGCATTGTGCTCATGAGACTAACTTCAGCATCTTACAGCTGGGAAGAAAACTTTCAGCATCTGCATTGACATCAAATTCTTTGTGCCTGATTCAGTCCCAGGTTTGAGCTTTGGCAAAAAGAAATAAACATCATACAAAATGCAATCGATATTTATTTGTGGAGCTTCTGGTTGGGCAGAAGTAAACAGCTACAATTTGAATTTTTTTAACAGTGGCATGACAGAAAAGTCAGTCCAGTTGTGAGGACAGAGGTGACACTAAATTAGGCAACTCATACTTTATGGCTGGCTCTGTTAATTTCTCAGTGTTTATCCTGTGTCTAATCCCAGTAGTTCTTCTATTTATCCACCTTAGAACTGTGACCATAAATTGATTTATTTTGCTTTTCTAAAAGAGGTTTATAATTGTTATATCATAGTTCCATTAATTCCTGTGAAACTATGAGAGGGAAGGTTGAGGAGCTGTGCCTATTTTTTCTTAAAATCATCAAATGATATACATTAATTTCAAAACAAAATTCCACATAGTGCCACACACATATTTCTAAAATTTCTACCTGATAGCCTGTTATCTGAATGAAGCAGACATGAACATCTCTTCAAGATTTTTCAGGACTGATGGATATTTTTTAAGTCAGTCTTACCAGCCACAGAACTATGCCAAAACCCAGGAATATTCTAGCACACAAAATAAATGGATGGATGCAGTCAAATAGCTTTTGCATTTTATGGAGTATGCTCACAATCCACAAAACCACAAAGAAGCTGGGAGGGACCCTTATCACTGTACAACATTCTGCGCCATCAGTTACTGCTCAGCCTATGCAAGCTGAAAATATTTCAGGTATGCAGCAGGTTAATAGAATTGTTGTGATATTTGTACTGGGGCAATGAAAATAAGTTCACTAACCAAAGTTAGGCACAGCCACTTCTTCCCATAGAAACTAGCTGGTTGTATTTCTCTGTACTTCCTCTGCTTGGAACTTAATTGTTTCTGGAAGGAAACTCTGATATTTCACTGAAATGTCATAGAAGAAAAAGTGATCTTAGTATTAAAACAAATGTATCAGCTGCTTGTGCCAGTGTGTTGGCTATCATAATAACAGCATCAAGTAAAGAAAATGAAATAAGAACATGTAGTAGAGATGGGCTGGAAATTGCACATAGAATTCGTGCTAAACTTTTTGTGAATCTGGACCCAGCTGAAACACACAGTTATAGCTTCAGTTCAGTCCTAGCTGGGACTGGACTTCCAGAATCGCTCAGGCCCTTATCTGCTCAGCTAATTGCAGGGTATTTTTCTCTTTATCTGTCAGGCCTGTGGCTTAACCTTCCAGTAACTCTGAGGACTGGCCTATGGATTTGTGAATCCTCTGCCTTTGATGACATGGGAGCTGAAACTTAGAAAAGGGAATGTGGATCTGACTGAACGTTCCCAACTTTGCCACTATTACTTGCCAAGAAACCCATGTTTATTAAATATTTAAATCTCCAGAACTTTTAGGCTCACAGCTTGACTTTTACTGATGCTCACCTTTTGTTCTTTAACTGTCTTTAGGCATTAGTTTCACTGAATTACCTTCTTTCATGAAAAGCTATTGGCTGTTGGGCCATAAGACCTGTCATTTTTTGTTCATCTGACCTGGATACTAATCACAATAAACAGTCTAAAGCAATGCTACATATTCAAACCACTGCTTTATTAACATAAGTAATCATTTCCATTTACACATGTTCCTTAAAGAGCTGCCTTGTACTCACCTGAGCACAAAGTGAGAAAAGCTCACACTCTCCAATGGATGTGCTGGTGTTTCCCAGCAGGTCAGTGTGTTAATGCTCCTCAGCACTTGGCCTCTGTTAATTCTATTCCATTCCATGCAGAGATTTGCTTGGGTATTGCTGGTTTGTACAAAGTAATCTCAGCAGAAAAAAAAAAATTAATGTTCTGCTGCCCCAAGCAGTCGAAGTCCACGGGGACTTGGGTGCATCCCTTATGTTGGGAGAAGCCAACTTGATCCAAGCACTGCTGACATCCTAAGAACATGGAAATGCCTGTCCCACGGGGATGCAAATACACCTTAATCACAACACTATGTAAATGCCCACCTTCCCACAGCCCTACACAGCATAGGCAATTCACAAAATAATTTATATTTTTCCATGTGAATAACTCTGTGTGCCTTCAGTATGCTACAGAATTGTTTTGCATAAGAAAATGAGCTGTTATTTTCCACCCAAGCAAACTATGCCCTTCAGGTGAAATGTTTTGATTTCAAGAACAAGCTGTCAAAATATTTTACAGTGCTTTGGGCTCCTCATATTCAGATTTTTAAGTGCTATACAATCACAAACCTCCATTGGAAAAGAATTGGAAACAATTCTCAAAAAATGTGCAACCAGGAAAAACTGGAATAGCATTAGCTGCAGAAATTTAAAATGAGGCCACTCAGCTGTGAAGAAACAAGAGTGTCTTCCTTATGAGCAAATTTTATGGTGAAGAAATGAGAGTTCAGAGTTGTCCTTTTTTTAGGCTTCAGCCTTATGTTCTGTCCTGCATGAAAGCTATCAAATGGCTGTGGTAGGATTCTGTTTCTTGCTAGTTAATTTTAGTTACCCTTCATGGAGAAGGCAATGGTAGAGGCTAGACTGTAAATCTGGGAATCCAAATAATTTCCTGTAAAGTATAAGGGAGAATTAGGAGGAGGTTACACAAACAGATTATATTTAGGAAATGAGAGAGAAAAGCTTTGGTATGAACCAGAGGGAGCTTTTATGAGACCAGCCCTAAGTGATAAGAGCCCAGCAAATGGAAGATAGCAACACATTAACAAGGAGAAAAGTAAAACTGGAAGCAAGCTTCGGTGTTGGATAGAGGAAATACATTTTTATCTTTGGCACAGAGCCACACAGGAGCTTAAAGGGCATTTGATTGAGGCATTTGACTAAAATGCAAAGAACAGAGTGGGATCTGGGATAGGCAGCTGAGCAAGGAGTAAGTTCATGAGCATATGAATCACTGATGAGAGGAAGATGATTTTCTGCATTTTTTTTCTCGGCTGAAGTCTTTGGCAGCATGTGTGGAAAGAGAGGGAGCTGCATTCAAAGCAGTACCTGTTTAAGGCAAGCTAAGCAGCTGGGGACAAAACGAGAGGAAAATGATCTGCTGTTTGTGAGTAACTTAAAAGTTGTAACATGTAAAAGCATGTAAGAGCCATGTTACTGATTGCCTGCTTCACTGGAAGATGGAAATCAACATTCTTCTGTGAGATTATTTATCTTAGATTTCATTCTTGTTTCCTGTCAATTGAAAAATCGGTTAAGTTGTCTTTTGTTAAATAAAAAATCCACAACTGGAAGAAAATATTTGGTCCCATGTATTTCCACCTCTCTCAAATTAAACAACAGCACCTTCAGCCAATTTAAAGCATCTAATTAGACTGAAGTGTTGAAACAGGAGGAAAACCTTGGTGCCACACAAGTCAGCAGATTGTTTCCCTTATGCTTTGTGTCTTGAGACTTCATCTATGTAAGGAGTAAAGTGCAGTGTTTGGGTAGAGTAAATTATTGTGTTGACAGGAAGAATATTTTGGGAGCTCTTGCTGGATCCGGAATGGCATATATAAATATAAAAAGCTGCTACATAAAACAATAATAATACTTGCTCAACAGGCTTTGTATATGTATTATTTGCATTATGGTGGCTCAGCGAGAGGATTTACATAACTGTGACACGGATTCTGCCAAAACTAGAGAAGCCTGACTGTGTTCTCTGCTACTACCCTAAGATTTGTGCTGTAAATCCATCTGAGCAGGGTCAGTCCTGAGTCAGATCAATCCTGGAACAGCATTACAGACTTGTGCTAAATCCATGCCTACTTCATCTTCAGGACTGCAGCACAGCACTAAATAGTAGATGCTCATTTTCCCTCACTAAAAGGACCCTCTTATAGAAAAAAAAAAAATTGCAGAATAATTATGTCATTTTGGTTTATCTTTGTGTACTTTGCCTTCCTTTCTCTGAGTTTATCTTGACTTTCTTTTTACAGTAGTTCCCATGGCACTAGTTTGCTGTAAATTCAGCTAGGGTTCATAATTATCTCTGGAAAACACACACACATAAATAGCTACCAGGAATATCTTATTTGTTTGTTTTCATTATGAAACTCATAAGAGGCACTAGCACTGTCAGTACCACAGAGTGATGGGTTTGAGGAAGGCCTCCCTGGAGATAAGCAAAATTTTCCATGTGTCTGTGAAATGAAATAAAGGGCACCTGCTGACTTTTATTTATCATTGCAACCCTTCTGAATAGCAGCTGGGATTTTGCTAACAAGAAAAAGTCTTACTCAGGGTACTGTATTTGTAATTTGGTTGGATTTTGGAACAGTATTAAATATATGTATTTTTTTCAGTTCTTTCCTTCATGGCAATCCATCCAAAATATGTATTCTCTGCTGATATGAAGGCACACAATCACACCAGGGCAGAATTTAGCACAGAATTTATGTCTGTGTGGCAACAAACCCAGTGCCAACATTTGGGTGGGGCTGTTCTCAAATCTGCTCCCTTCCTCCAACACAGATCCTCATACACAGCACAGGAACATGCATATTTTAAATATCTGAGAACTGGCATTCAGACACGGTTGATGATACTGGAGACTCCCTCATCACAGAATCCCCAAGGCTGGAAGAGATCTTCAAGATCTAATCCAACCATTGACCTTCCCCAACCACAGTCACCCCTAAGCCATAGCCCCAAGCGCCACAGCCAGAGGCCTCTTGAATTCCTCCAGAGACTGTGACCCCACTGCCTCCCTGGGCAGCTCATTCCAATGCCTGACCATTCTTTCTGTGAAAAAAAAACCCCTTTGCCCAGGTCCTGACTGCTTTCGCTGTCAGAAAGAGCCTGTGCCTGCTGTTTTGAGATCAGGGGAGGGTGATGAATAAACCATCACAGATCATCATCACAAATGTGTTTCCTCTCTGTTCCCCAGGTAAAGGTAAGAGCTTGGAGATGGCTCCTGGGTCACTGTGCCTCAGCAGCATTTCCACGGGAGTTTGGATCTCTGTGCACAGTAACGATTAATGTGGCAGTGATTACAGCTAGATTTGAACCCTAGGTGAAGTCTTCCCATCTTCCTCATCCATGTACTGATGATAAATCGAATCCTGACAACTCTTTAAGCAGATCATATTTATTGGAAGTTAATAAAGCAGACAGGGAAACCTGCAGATCCAGAGTTCATATACACTCCAAATTAACAATGAACACAAAGTCCCATCCTCAGGAACTGCACCTCTTCTCCTTCACCACTTACAGAAAGGGGAGGGAAAGGGAGAAAGCTTCAATTCCGCAAGAAACAATGCCAATATATATACAAGTCATAGTCACAGATAAATCCTGCAGCCCCTTACTAAACTGAACCGATGTCTAAGATTTCAAGAACTGCCCCAAGCTTCAAGGTATGTCTGCATCAACTGTGAAAGAAAAGGACAGAATGACTGTGTATTCTGACTATAAAAAAATATGTCTCTCTTTGATATTAAAGAAATAAAAAAGAAGATTTTTTCCTTCCTCTTCTCTAACCTACAGAGAGGATATTAATGATCAGTGGAACTGACACTTGCCCTGCCTGAGTCCAAGAGCTGTTAATTTTCAGATACAGTTTCAAAACAAAAGGCAGAAAAAAATTAGAATACAGTTTAGTAATAAAGCTGGTATTTATAAATAAAAGTAGAAATATTTTATATTTATATGCATAGACATCACCTGGTATTTAAGGATACACATTGTGTTAAAATAGCATTCTTGTCCCTTAGCTGCTGTTCATTTAGTTGCAAAAAATTAGAATACGTGTATTTGATGCCAAAGCTAATATATACATCATAACTTAAAAATAGACAACAGACATGTGGAATAAGAAAAATGTACCCCCAAAAATTAAATAGGTATTTTTATGTTCCTCTTAAAATAGGCAATGGCTACATTTTAATTATAGATTTAATTATGCCGTTTCTTTAGTTAAAATTCATGTAACTTTGCATTATACCTAATAATGCTCCTGTGTGTTTTACATTATGAGAAAATACAATAAATTCTCTGTGCTTAGTGTAGGAAATACTGCAAAAACATAAATGTGTGCAAAGACTGGATACAGAGATTCTAACTGTGATGAAACTCTGGCCTAAATGGTACAGGCCCAGGATACATGTTGGGTAATATCAAATGGCACTATATGAGACATTTTTAAGCAGGAAAATAAAATTTTTCTGCCAAATCTGATCACAGCCTTTGCCTGAGTTAAAAAAAAAATCCTATATGAAAACTCCACATGCTATGACTTGCCAATACGTCACCTAGTTTTCTATGAAAGTGAGATTCTGCTCCAGAACCCTGACCTGGTGTAAGTGAATTTTCTTTTGCTTCACCACAGGGCTGAGCTGGGCTGTCACTGCACGGTGACACAGGGGCTGAGGAGGGCTGAGCTGGGCTGTCACCACACAGTGACACAGGGGCTGAGCAGGGCTGAGCTGGGCTGTCACCACACAGTGACACAGGGGCTGAGCAGGGCTGAGCTGGGCTGTCACCACACAGTGACACCAGGGCTGAGCAGGGCTGAGCTGGGCTGTCACCACACAGTGACACCGGGGCTGAGCAGGGCTGAGCTGGGCTGTCACCACACAGTGACACAGGGGCTGAGCAGGGCTGAGCTGGGCTGTCACCGCACAGTGACACCGGGGCTGAGCAGGGCTGAGCTGGGCTGTCACCACACGGTGAGGTCCGGCCGCACACCCTTGAAGTCGCTGACGGTGAAGGAGCGGGAGCGGCGGCGGAGCGGGGCGCGGGCCGCGGGCCGGGCCTGCAGCAGGCCCAGGTAGGGAGCGGAGCGCAGGAAGCGCGGGTAGCTGTCCTGCTCCATCAGCCGGTACACCGTGCTCTGCGCCGCGTCGAAGGTGCTGCGCAGGGGCTGCCCCATGCTCTGGCTTGTGACTTCCTTGGTGTGAAAGTCCAGATTCACCTGGAGGACGAGGAAAAGGGTATTTGTTTAACGTACATTCATGCATATCCAGTGTTATTATCTACAGCACCAATACTGTACGCTGGAAAAATACTTTTCTGATAAGAATGAAGCCTTAAATTTGAGCTTTCATATTTTCCAGATTCTGTACTGCATTAGTTTATAACTCTGAACTTCATATAAAGTGTTAGCAAGTTCTCTCCACAGCTCAGTCACACAAACCAATCCTTTTCCAGCCCCAGAACCAAGGACACCGCTGCAGCTTCAGGCCCAAAAAGTGCAACCAACAGGGAATGGAGGAGGGCAGACTGGGAGGGTGGGACTGCATCACCTGAGCTGTAACTGGACAATGAACCCCAGTATGGAAATGGACCAAAACTTACAAAAGTGTGAAAACTCATGACTCATCGTCCATCTTGGGTAGCCATGGTTCTTGTACTGCCCAAGGTGCATCCTGTGAAGACCTTTTAATAAATCCCTACTTTATTCCTTTCTTCCTTCTCTACTTCTGCCCAGCCTCTGTTCTAGCAGGCATCAGGAGGACCTTGAATCCCCCATACAACAGGATATTAACACCACAGAATTGGTGTGTTCGCCTTCAGTGGTGGCTTTCAGAAAGTCTCCACAAATGTGTCATTGGTACCATGGAAAACTGGGGAAACAGAAGAAAAACTCTGATATTTGACTAAAAGTAACTTTCTAACAGTGATCGCTGTACAGTCACAGCTTCCCAGCTTTGCAATACTAGACTATTACAGATCTCCCCTGCTCATGTGGGATTAAAGTAGAACTTGTTCTAATGAGATGATATTAGGCAATAGTTAAAATTTCTGGTTTCTGTGTAGTTTGTGTAGTAGGAAGGTGATAAAATTCTTAAAATTCTATTTTTTTTTGTTTGTTTGTTTGTTTTGTTTTGTTTAAACTTAAATGGGTCTCGAGGCCTTACATTGGGAAAGCATATAAAAATTACTATTTACTCCATGTGCTGCTGCATTCACCCTGGGAAATATTTAATAGTATAAGAATTTTAATGAAGTGACAGGCACTGGTTCAAGCACGTTATTTTGAAAAATAAGGTAGAATATATAAAAAAATTGTTGACTCAATCAAAAAGTGACTTCTATAATGTTTTTCTTTTCCTCCCTGAGAGGCACCTATCATTTCCATACAACTAGTTGGAACAAATAGTCTAGATCTAAGAGCTGGAGGGCAATTAGTGATCAGAGAAGGGTCCACTCATCCAAAATTTTATGATCCCATCAAACTGTAGGCTTAGAAATTTGTGTGTAAAAGAGTTTTGGTGGACAGGAAGTCAGAGGAGATGTGCAAGCTCCAGAGCTGTGTGGTCTCAGCTGAACCCAAGGGAGGAAGTCACACCAAAGCCAAGTGTCCAAGGTGAACCACAGCACCCACCCTGCCTGCACCAAACTCAAGCATGGCAGAGAAAGAAATTGTTATGTTACTATGACTTCCTGCCCTGTCCTCTCCTCAGCTTTCTCCTGCTCAACTCTGCTTTAATCAGTCTCAAGCACTGACAGTGTCAGCACTTGTTACCAGTCCAGGGCTGCTTCTCCCCAAAGGCACACAGCAGGAAAGGAATGGAAAGGGACATAAGTCCTTAAAAGTAGGTATTTCCTAGGAAAAGCAGATATTAATCTTAATGCTATCTATGAGAATTGCAGGTGGAAACTGCACTGCTTTCCAATCCTCTCACTAAAATGAGAACTACACTTTTTTCACCCTCTTTACAAGGAAGCAGAAGTTAGTGTTTAACTTCTGCTATTCTGGCAAATAAAAAAATGCAGGTATTGGCAAGTGACATATTTGATCTGCTCAAATGTGATAGAATTACAGGAAACTGTAAGTCAAAAAGACTTATTCAAGAGGCTGCTTGTGATTTCACTAAAAAGTTTATGATCTCCCAACCTGTTCATCTTCTTTTTAGGGCAGGCAAAAAATTATTTCTTTTGTTCATTTATGAACCCTTTCTAACACACTGCAGTAAAATGAAAAAGTTGGAAATATGAAAACTTTTTTCATTCTTAGGATACTAAAACAAAGCCTTAGTGTTCGTGAGGACTGTCATAACAACATCATTTTGTGCTGACAGTAACACCAGGGATATACCACTGGAGGTGGAGGGGTGGAAAAGGGAGAGGGAGTCAATCAAGACAAGTCCATGCTCCTTCCAGAGTTTTGACTTTTAGGAAAGTCTTCTTATGTCAGGGGACTGCAGGATTAGCTCTTGAAGCTTCTTCTGGGCATGCACTTCTTAAAAGAAAGTTTCACCAGATGCAGTTGTGTCAATCAAGCACTGTGTATAATGAGGAAGGTCTACCTCTTTTGGAGCATCTTTCTGTATGAATGTTTCAAAAATGGTCTTGGCTTTTGGCAGAAGTTCATGTGCATTTTTGCTTTTCTTGTAATCCTCGCAGGCTATCCAGAACTCGATGTTCTCCTCACTGAACTCAGTTTTCAGAAACTTTGTGAAGGCATCCAGCCCAGCTGCAAAAGGGAAAGTTGAATTGCATTAAAAAATATATCCTTATCAGACAGTTACTCTTTCAAAGAGTCTGTGCATGGTAGTAAAATATGTTTTTCTCCCTTGGAATAATACCACATTACAGATAATTATCCTAGAATACATAAATGCTTTAAAATAAGTGCAGTTTCTCCATTATGATCCTGCAAATTTCCTTACAGAATTCTCAGCATCAGTAAAAAAATGCTACCAAGATCTCATAAATTTAGAAAAAAACATTAAGCAAAACATGTGGGAGTATGTGGAAGTGGTGGAGTTTATTCCAGCTGAATATCAATACAGGTTGATCAAAAGACTATTTGAATCTTTGCTCATAAGTAAACTACTCTTCAGCAGCAATTTAAAATTCATGGCTTTCAGCATCTCTATAATTTGCTTTATCCTGCTGTTATTATGCTGAGGATATTTTCTTTGCCAAGCATGCTTCATCTGTGGAAGTAATGCAATTGTGTGGATATGAACTGTTCAAGGAACAGATTTGAAGAGCCCAGTGTCCAGCACTGTAGCTGAAACATACGTGTGGCCCTCCAAAATGAAGGCAGGAACATATGTGCATTTGATAATGATGGGAGCAGCAGGGCCTCTCAAACGATGGCCAGCTTGGATCCAATCACTGTCTTAGAAACAGACTGTCAGGACTGACAAAGTCTTTTCTTAAGTACAGGGAGCATATGCAGTCAGGAATATTTGAGCAATATAAGGGGCTCTTTTCTGTCTGCTATATTACTTTGTTCAATAAAACACCAAGTACAAAAATGATTTTAAACTATTTTCACAAATTGACACCAAGCTATAGCTGAAGAAGACAAGAGAGCAGGAAACACATGCTGCCATAAATGATCCATCATACCTAGTTTAGGTAACTGGCATGTCTATTCAAGGGCATAACTGGATTTTATAATTTTCCATCTTTTACCATCAATTTTCCATCCAACAGTCTGCATGGAGAGAAAAAACTACTGACCTTTCTCAGAAAGCAGTTTGTCAAAAGACTCTCCCCATTTCACTGCTTCTTCAGGAGACACACTGCTTAAGAAACAGAAAGAAATTTTGAAGAATTGTTCATACTGTGCATTAAAGAAGCTGTGTAACACACATTAACTGTCACCATTGTGGCTCAGGACTGTTCCACAAAGGTTTTGATTAGATCACCTCACTAAGTGAGATCATTCTCTTAGGGGCTTCAGGAACATTTGCTTTAACTCACTCTTGACATTTTTTCCTGCAGTTATACTTCTCTTTTTATAAAAACATAGAGCAGTGGCTTTTTGTTGTGGTATTTCTGTTGTCCTACTAATTTTTAAGGGAATTGAGACCATGTAGCATGGTAAAACTCATAAGGGAAGTAGGTCTTTTCAGCTGTTTAAACTAGAGACAGTCATGCAGAGGTAGTTTTGAATATATTCACTCTGAGGCTGTTACCACAGTCTGCTTTTAATGAAATATGCAGAATTCTGTAGCCTGAAGATAAAACTGTAGCAATATGGTTTAGGTGTCAGTCTTACAGGGCAATAGCACGTGTAGTCTGGTTTGTTTACCACAAACATTTCAAATGCCATGCTATTCTGAGACACTGTGCCTCATTTATAAAAATCCTCATGTTCTTCATCAAGTATGTCAAGTTTCACTTCAATTTTGAAAAATCTGCCCTAGAAAACAGCAAAGAAAGGGGGAAACACCACCAGTTTTTATCAGTTGCTTTGTGGATGTGAATGTTTAGAACCATTTTCATTCCAGGACAAATCACAGGACACTGAAAGTATCAGTAAGTGACAGGTCTGGGATTGGTTGATCAGATTAACTTCTTATAGACCAAACGTTTCTGGAATATGATCCCACTTCCTCATCAAGACTTGCTGTTCTGTTTCCTGATTTACACAGTTTGGGCTCCCTTGGCAGGGAGGAGGCACATAAAGTTTAGATGAAAGGAAATTCCAATCTCTTTGGTAAGGAATTTAAGCCTATAATGAGGCGTTTGGTTTTGGTTTTTTTTAAATTTTGATAGGTGTCACATGTTTCATAGCTGAAGTAATTTCCTGCAGGAATGAAAATTTTAACTAGGGAGAAGAAAGCAGTTTGTGAGGAGAGGTACAAAGGCTGGAGAAATGAAATTCAGGAGAGCAGGGGGATTCTGGATTCAGGTAAAATGAGACCTCACTCCCTTATAGCGTTCATTAGTTATGAGAATTACAGAAAGTACAGTGAACTCTGTCAAATGCAGGTTCCTGTACCTACAGAAATTATTTTGGTCATAGTGAAAGATAAAGCCTTATGACTTCAGACCACATACTCAGTTCGCAAAGGCATGAAGTGCTGGAGAGGGTCTTTGCTGGGTTTGGAAACTCCTACTTGTGAGTTGCTTGTTTTCCTTCAGCATCTGCAACAACCCAGGAGCCTCACAGACCCCCAAGACCTGAGTGCAGCAGTGAGCTTGTGTAATAATAGACAGAAACCAAGACTTGTTCATCTTTGCCACTTTCTAAATATGAGAAGAAAATAATTTAAACTAACGGTTAGACATTTCAACTAAAAGTGAACTATTCAATGAACAGATTAATTAACTTTTCTGCTATCACTGCAATTTCCACCTGCAGTGTTTCATTAAAATCTCTTTCTACTTATTTTAGTAACTGTGTGGAAAATGGAAATCATAAAACCTAAGTAAATCACTTAATAAATTTCAAACTATTATCTCACTTTATTATTTGAAAAAGAGTAAATTTGGTTGGTTGTTTTTTTGTATTTTTTGACAAATATAATTGTCACTTTAATCCAAATATAAGACCAACAAAAATCTACAAGTTTCTCTTCCATACAAGAACAGTCAAATCTCTGTTAGTAAGACACCAGCTGACAGTAATGTGGTAAAAGACAGCTGGCTGAATGAGGAAATGATGTTAAAAGGGAGAAATTCTTCAGAGAATTGTTACTGCTCTGAAAGTGCTGTCTGGCAGTTTGTAAGAATGCAGTGAATGGCTGTACTTTGTATTAAATACCTGGGGTATATGAGCCACCCAGCGCTCTCTGCCTCTGCTTTCTCTTTACAGATGCAATCTTAGAATGGTTTTACATGTCTGCAACCAGGGTATCTCAAAGCATGAGCAACAAACACAGCCTGGTTACTCAGGTGCACCGCTGGGAGTGTTTAGATACCCCCTCCCCAGCCACTTTTCTATGGGTTCTAGAAGCAGAGTTTGGGTCCTTAGATGACCTCTACCATGTGCTCATTAATTAGCACATTAATGGTTTGTAGAAGCAGCTGTGGTCAAAGCAGGCAGCTTGGTTCGGAAAGTGGGGACTGCTGGAACAAGGGAAAAGGCCGTGGTAAGCACTGAAGTGTTCTGGAGTGATCTGTGGTGGAAGGAAAGGGCCGATACATATTTTAGGCCACAGTGTTGTAGAATTCTACATATTCCTTCTTCTCAGTCAGGACCTACAAATGCAATTCTTAATACAGCAGTGAGATCTTGGTACTCCATTGAAGTGAGGAATTAAACTCTTGTGGAAGTCAATAAACCCAAGATTGTACCCTGCATCTTTATGGTAAATACTAGGAACAATACTACCAGAGTGTATGAATTTTGGAGACAAGAGTATTCAACCAATTACTGCAGTTACTAAGGAACTATGCATTCACTATTTAACACAGCTATGGCATTTGTACATCACAGAAGTCTTTGGAAAACCTGCTTTGCCAGGAACTGTATGATTTTCCTGCCAGCTGCATTTCTGAGTGGATTATTGCTCTGTACAATCAGTGGACTCGTACCAAGGCTGCTGGCACAAGGTTTAAACCTCTCTGTAAGTGTATGGGCACCAAGTGGTGTGAAAACACTGCTGATTACCTTGATGCATACCAGGTAATTCTGTAGTGTTTGCATGCTTGGGTTATACTGATAAATTTTCAAAGGGTTGCTCTGCCCAGTCTGAATGCACACACATGGGTACAGGAGACATCCTGAGTCACACAGGTGCTTCTTGTGGAGGGAATCCCCAACCAACCCAGTCTTTTACAAAGTTTACCTTGCTGCTTTTGTCAAGTTTCCAGGTTTGCCAAGGTGATCACTTTCATGGAATTCAGGTTTCTGCAGGAGCAGGCTCAGCCTATTTCTCTTCTGCTTAGCTCTACGACAGAATTGGAGTACCTTTTCAAGAACCATTGTAGAAAGTTGGTTTTTCCCTCTCAAGCATTCTCTGCTTCTGCATTATACAACTCCCTATTTTCACTTACAGTAATGTTGGTGTTACTTCTCCTACATATATTTTTCACATTAATGTTTTTTTTCCTTCATAGCTTAGCACATATTTTACACTGGCAAAGAAAAATAGAAATCCTTTAATTTTCAACATCCTTTTAATTTATTTTAAAGAAGAGGGGCCAAACTTCCCATTAGAAAATGTAAACAATTGGCTCAGCATCTTCTACTTTTAATGTTTCACAAAGAAAAAAGGAACTATTGCTTCCTGTCATTTGAAATTTTTGAAAAAAGCTTTCCCGGATGATATTCAGGCTTTAGAGAAGCATTTCTCAGAACTTCTTGCAACCTCTTTTTCTTAGTATTTTTAGATCATTAATTTGGTTTGTTTCTTGTCCTCAAATAAAACGATAGTTCTTTGAGATAACTCTTCTAAAAAGAGTTAATATTTTACACATATTTTACACCATTTCTAGGATTGCAGTTCATGAGATCTCATATATATGTCAAAAATTAAATTAGCTGTGCCCTAAATTCACCCCCACAAACTATGCTAGAAGAATCCTCCATGTAAACAGAACACGCAGAGGGTCAGCGTGACCTCAACACTTACCCAGGCTTGCTTGCTTTGTGTGGCTCTTCCTTAATTGCTGATTTTGTGACTTTGTAATAGGGTTTATCCTTTGAAGCAGATATGTTGAGTTGGGGGAATAAAAGAAGTGGGTTCTCCATCTTCCTCTAGAGAAGCTTCCGGCAAGGTTCCCTTTGCTCATTCGCCCCCGGTGCGTGCTGGCTCGGGCTCTCACATGCTGCAGCAGCCTGGACTGCCCTGGCCAGCCCCAGCCCTGTGTCCAGAGGAGGTGGTGGCAGGAGGTGGCTCTGCACTGGCCACGGTCTGCAGCTGTGCCCACGCTGGGCTCTAAGGACAGCTCTGGTTGTGCCCTCGTCCCTTGGGGAAGTGACACTGCAGCTCCACAGGGCTCACGCTGCAAACCACAGCCCAGAGCTGCGGCTGCTCCGCGCAGCTCAGCTCCTGCTCGGGATAGGGTGGCACCAGCCCGTGCTCCCAAACATCGTACATGCCCTAGGCTCCTAAAGTTAACCTTAATGACATTGATGTCACATGAAATGACATACAGCCTTCTCTTCAGCCCCCAGAGGCACTCCATCCGCCCTTAAGCTGCTCTGTGCAGCCTCAGTGCCATGTGCTGCACACAGCTTCATCCACAGCACCCTGACTTCAAACTCAGAGTTTCTCAGCGTGTCCTTCAAGCTTTGGCTGATCAATCATTTTGCAAGCAGATATTTTAATTTTTGCACCATTCTTCAGAAATTACAACCACCCACTTCTAATTTCCAGTTTGTCCACTAAATGCTCCCGCTTTCACTTCTTTGTCTCTGGATTTATTTTTACTTGCAATCTCCCACACAAGATAGACAGTCTTTAGTTCAGAAAAAAAAAAAAAAAAAAAAAGGGTTTTTTTTTTTTAAATTTTAATTGGTTACTAAATAACCCAAAACTTCTCATTTCAGTTTGCATAAGGTAAAAATTTATTAATCTTTGAGGTTTATCAGCACAGATTATCTCTTCGCATACAAGTCTGATGTCAGTTAAGTTTCTTGGGTTTAAGTTCAGTTTCTGTTGGAAGTGTCATAGGAACAATACATCTAATAAAGAAACATCTTCAATGTTAGCTGAATGAGGCACTGGAAAGGTTAAAATTACTGCAGTAATTAATTTATTAAGCATTCAATAGTTCTCATGTTTTTAATGGCAGTATCTCATTTTGATTTCTCAGGTAGGACACTGAGCTTTGAGAAGACATGACCTCATTACCTCCCATAATTTTGTTGTGTTTTACTTACATGGGTACTTCTGGTGAGAGTTCCACTGTGGCCTTTTTCTTGTGGAGCTGAGAAGGATGGGAATGGGAGATACTAATATTCAAAAGAAATTTTAAAAACCCAACTCTGCTAGGAATCCAAATTTGTGAAGCATTAAAAGAAGAATAAGATATAATCTATCATGATTTTTTTTTAAGAGTTAACTGAAAAACTCTCATGTGCTACATGTGTGATACAAATTTTAAAATCAGACAATGGGAAACAGTGCAAACTGCCTTTTGTAACCCAAGGGACTTTAGGAAGCAGAATTACAGTTTAAACCTAATTTTCAATTTCAGAGAAGGCTTATGCATCATATCATGCATATTTTAAAATGGCTTTAACCGCAGCTGTGTTTAATAATTTATTCTGCCTTTTACAGATAAGTAAATAAATATAGACTGCATGACTTTATTTCACTTTTCTGCAATAGTGGTGGTCACATGAGCTTTTTTTACCTGTTATGTCTGTAAAATACTGTCCGTGCTCATCTGCCATAATTTTGTTACCTGCTGATTTCAGCTCCCAGAAAATATTTGTAATTTTAGCCTCCACATTCCATCTAAGCTGATTTAAGAAAGATTTGGAGCATGGAATATAATTCAGAGGTGAATTATGAGGGGCCACTGTGCCAGGCAGCTTCTAGATGGGGATGAGTGGCTGTGTCCCTCTTTCAGCACCCACCAGCCATGGTCTGAAGGGCCTGTCCCACTCACTCTTCAATGACCCTAAATGGGTTTTACGCCTTAGATGATTGAATTATTCCTGTACTACACAGCAAGCAATTGTGTCAGTCCTGACTGCAGCAGTGTGCTGTACACCTCCTGAGAATTCACTTGGAAATCTGAAGGAGTGTGGAGAGGGGTGGAATAATCACATACAATCTTTCCCCCATTCACCCACATTTTTCCCCCATTAATAGAAAGCTTATACTAAATCTAGGCCATGAAGTAGCCAAATTGCCTCCAAGTCAGTCTCTGTTTTGTCAGCACTGCTGCTGGTGCTAATGAGCATCGCTGTTTTGAATTGTAAGCTACAGTAGTTATAGTAACAGTATTAATGACCCTGTAAATGCTTCTGGGCTATTTTGGCTGCTGCAAGATGACGATACAGGAAAATGAATAAGTTATTTTAAAACCAGATAAAGCAGACACAGAATATTATGTTGATGACATGACTAGAGATCTAGAAAGCTCCAAAAAAAATTTCTGATGAGAACTAAATGTCCTGTTTCCCAACCATTTCTCTAACCACTGAAAAATGTTGGGAAGGAGGCTACTGATTTTTAAGCCCTCAAATCAAGATTCTCTCTGAAATGTGAGAACAATATTGAGTTAATGTTCTATTACTTGCAGAAATACATTTTTCAATGGTTAGATGAATATTACATGTATTTTCATAACAAACTCCATGTGACATAAAAGTCACATGGAGTTTGTTATGAAAATTGTATAGAGAATAAAGTGCAGGATGATGAGGTGATGTCCTGATCTTTGGGCCTTCCTGTTCTTTGGCTGAAAATTGTCTGCACTGGTTTCTGTTTGTGTTTGATAAGGTCCTGTCACAGCTGATGATCAGGTCATGCTTGATTTGTATACACACAGTAGCTGTCCTCCGTGAAAGAAATATTGACTGCCAGTGTTAGCAATAAGGCCATGGTATTGTACACTGAGAATGTCATGTTTTCTTTTTACAGGGAGTCTCTGAGAGATTCAGGCTTTCAGTCCAGCTGAAGAGAAGTGCAGCCCTGACTGAACAGTTCAGCTCAGCACAAAGGGAAATCCTCCTTTGTCAGTAATCCCACAGCATCTCTCTCCAAAGCTGTTCTCCTTACTTCCCAGGTAAATGCAAACTTTGCTTCCTCCATTTCCATTCTCATGTTCTGGCACTGCCCGGGCTTCTCCACTGCTCCAGCACTGTTCTTATTCAAATCCAATCTTACCGGTATGGCTTTTGTTGGGTTAGGTTTCTGCTGAAGGGAAGCAATATTTATGAGAATAAAAACAAAACACCTAAACCAATAGTATTTTTACTGTTTTTTCTTACTGGAAAGAATAAGCATGGAAAGAATCTTCACTGAAGAGCATGGGCTGAAAACATGAATTTCCATGTAAAGACATTTGAAGACTTGAAAATTAAAATTGTCTGTTTTGAACTAATTTGGTTTTAATTAATAATTCTGCTCTTCAGTCACTTCTGACCAATTTATCACTCCTCAATATTTTTGTTGTTTATTCCTATTTGGAAACAATAATTGTATGTAAAATTTAATAATAATATGATCCAAGTCATGGTTGATTTTTTATCTCTTCCCCATGAAGCAAATCCAGAAGGAAGAGAGTTCTATTGGAAATGTAGAGGATCTTGCTGTCTGCTAATTCAGGGAATTTGTTTAGTGGTGCCCTTAAAAGATGCATCCCAGGGGAGGGGGTTGTTGTGTGGGGTTCTTCAGTTACATAAGGAGAATCATTGCAACGCCTGCACACAGCTCGTGTTGAAAACCGTGGTTTTCTCCTTTGTTACTGCTGCTTAAAAGGAAGGAAACAAAATTGCATTGTTTCAGATATGAAGCACTGGTCTGCTAGCCAGGCATTGCTAAAGGATTTTTTAAGCCATCCCTGATGAAAACTCAAGAGTGGCACAGGCTTGGGAGTCTTTGTAGCTTCATCAGAACTTCTGCCGGGGAAAGTGTTTACATCCGTGCTAAACTGAATTAATTTATTTGGTCGTTTGAAAGGTCAGAATAAGAAAGTGAGTCTGCAAAGTTCTCAGCTGTATTCATTTCCTGCCTGGCCCGCGGTTCCCGGCCGGCATCTCTGATTAGTGCTGTTTACAAGTGACATGCATCACTGTCACCATTAATCTTCAGGCAGTCGTTTCCTCGGCTGAGCCCTGCGGTGTTTGCAGCCAGCTCTGACATCAGTGCTCATTAGACAATGGCGTGTTAATGACCAGCTTCCGGAAAGACTCACCTTTCACACTCACAGGCCTCTTTAAAAAGTTTTTTTCGTTGTGCTATTCACTGGAAATGCTGAAGGCAGGAATGTTCTCTAAATGCTGCCCAAAATATCCTTCCTACTGCCGTTCTGCACTACTGGATTTATTTCTGTCTTACAGAAACCCAGAAGGACTCCTCACATGACAACCTGGTCTTGGGGGGTTTTTAAAGTATTTTTTTTTAAAGACAATGGAGCAAACCCATGGCAATGGAGCAAACACTCGCAAGTATTGGGCTGAGAATTTTCTGGTCCTTCTGGGAAAGATGTGGGACTGTTGTTTGGTCATGCACAAGAGAGCTGTGACTCCTAGTCCACTGACTATTAACCGTAATATCAAACTCCCTACAGAACAAAAGGGAATAAAATCTGTGTTGCATCAGGACTGAGTCTACTATCACTGAACTACTGGGTGGTTTAAGCAGAGCTAACACGTTTAATGCTGGGTATGTCCTTACTCTGCTTTTCCAGTCAGAGTATCAGGAACATCTCAGGACCCTGAAACCAGGCTGTTACCAGAGCAGGCATTGTCAAACCTCCACAGCTATTCTGCAATATCTTTTTTCAGCTTATATGTTATTCTATTTTATTGTTACTTCTTCCTGATAACACTTCGTTCTTGTGTCCTGAATTTAGCTGAGGCAAATAGTCCAATGGTTTACAAAGTGGTATGGTGGATTTCCCATCAGAGCAGTAAAAAATTGGTACCCAAAAAACTTGAAAATATATAGCTAAATTTCCATATGAATATGTAAATATATTATCTTCAAAGTCTGTCAGAAGAAGACAGCATCTGAAGATATAAAAGCTACATGTCAGTCTGATCTTTCTGTTCAGTAATTACCCAAGGACGTTCATCATTAAAATTAGGTAAAAATAATAATGTTACATCACATTTCAGTGCAATCTTCAGAATGACTGAAAAATTTTCCAGGAAGGTTCAACTGATTTTTGAGGATTGAAAAAAGCTGTATTCAAAAATGTAAGCTGGGACAGTTTTATTTCCTAGATTATGGAAGTTTTGCTGTTGTAGTTTTCTTTTCCTCCTCCCAAACTTAGAAATCTAATGAGGAGTTTGGCTTTGAGGCAGGGACACTCCTTGTCAGCCTTTACCAGTCAGTCATAATCTCTCTTTTTGCTAA